TTTGGTTCAGGGTAGTATCTAGTCGAGCACTCTCGACTAGAGTTTTCTTACTTGTTTTCTTTTTACTTTTTTATTGTGACTGCCGTTGCTGCTGTTTCATTATTTGTTTCCGATTATAAACTTGTTGGCGCGCTGCGTGGCCGCGTATAAAAGGCGTTGCCAGCGCTTGACCCATCATCACAGCCACTTGACCCACAGCCAGCTAGAGAGCAGCCAGAGCCACAGCGTGTGAAACTAACTAAGTCCCAAGCAGCAGCATGAAGATATTTGTGGTGCGTTTTCAATGGATATAACTGGACATTTAAAAATATATATACATATCAGATATGCATATCATATGTATATATATATCATGGATTATCAGTGCTAAAACCCAACTTCTTCTCTCCCCTTTAGACCATTCTTGTGGCCGCCTTGGCCTTGGCCCGTGCCGACATCAGCCTCACGCAGCAGGGCTACAACTACCGCCAGCAGCAGCAGCAACAGCAGCAGCAGCAACAGCAACAGCCAACTGTTGTCGCGCATTTGCTCAACCAGCAGCTGCAGCAGCAACAGTCGCAGCAGTCGCACTCATCGCACCCAGTGCTGCCGCCGCTAGCCGTGCCACTGCCGTATCTGCCACCTGTGGGCCAGCAGTATCACTCGCAGCCTCAGCGTCTGGCCGCTCCCTTTCCCATGCCCGCCAACTTCCCGGTGAACTTCCAGACGGCGCCGCTGCAGCAGACGCGTCGCTCGCGTCCACGCGTTCGCATTCCCAAGAAGCCAATCGTCACCAAGAACTTCTTCATTCACACGGCGCCCGAGGAGTCTGACGACGAGATTCAGGATGAGCTGCAGCAGCTGAACCAGCAGCCACGCAACCACTACAACGTGCTCTTCGTGAAGACGCCCGCCCAGACGAATCGCGCGGCTGCCCTGAATCTGGCCAAGAGCCTAAAGCAGGAGAAAACGGTGGTCTATGTCCTGGCCAAGAAGACAACGGCCGCCGATCTGCAGGACGCCATTGCCGAGGCGCCACAGCACATCAACAAGCCTGAGGTGTTCTTCATCAAGTACCGCACTCCGGAGGAGGCGCTCAATGCCCAGCGCCAGATCCAGACCCAATACGATGCTCTGGGCGGCAGCTCCACCATCACCGACGAGGGCTTGGCGCCAATCACCTCTGTCGTTGGCTCCCTGGACCCACCCGAAGAGGAGGAGGAGGAGCAGCAGCAGCAGCAGCAGCAACAGCAATCCAACGACATCAGTGGCAGCGCCAACCTGAGTGGCCCCATCAATGGCAACCACATTGGCAACGGGCCAATCAACAATCACTATCTGCCCTCGAATCAGTACTAAAGTATCTACATTGCTCACCCCTAGCGAATCTTAGTTAGTTCGTCCACATCCCCGTTGAACTCTCGCATTTTATTGTTGTCTAAGTTTATAAGTGAATTTATAGTTGTTTAAGCACATCCTGTAACCAATCCGTATTAAAAATTTATTATTAAAAAAAAAGAATTAACTGACTGACATTTATATATCTTAAATTTATAGAACAAAATCTGATAATTATTATATATATCATTAATAATCGAAGTGTGTAGAGTGACTGGAAATCAGCTATGCGTAGGGCTTATTATAGTCAGACTTCTCTCAAGAGCTATCGTATATTTTTATGCTTTCATTCATTTCATTCTTCTCTTAATTATTCACGACTCTTAACGTATCTCGATAAAACTCAATATATTAAAGGAAAAGATATATCGTAATCGTATAATATATGTGAGATAATCATATCAGTCTACTCTACAAAGCCTCTTCAACTTGAATTGGATTTTAATGTAAGAGCAGCTATATAGTGAGTAGTAGAAGAAGATAGTTTAAAATATTATTATTATTATTATTTCGGATTCATTCATATATCTGCTCTAACTATCTAGAATAGAATAGAATTAAATGTGTGTGTGGTCTTTCGTCAGTCGACATCGTCAGATTTATTATAAGACATTCTTAGACTAAGCCGGGATTTCATTTGACATCTCCATCTCTGTAGAGACTGTGAATCTTTCCCTATTATGCCTTGATCAATGACAATGTGATTTAGTTCTCCAAGCTGCCAGCTCCTCAGTTCCTGCCGCTGCCGCCGCCTCATGCAGACTGAGATGGGTGCGTATGAAGTCGTGATAGTAGGCAATGCTGGCGCTGGCATCCGGCTTGCCTCTGGCGCAGGGCATGCCCCAATTGACCAGGGCGACGAGCTTGCCATTGTGCACCAGGGGGCCACCCGAATCGCCGTGACAGGCGCCACGCCCCTTGTCGTTGTAGGTGCAGACGTGGCCAATGTCCACATGGCTGCTGTTGCCATGCGCCTGGCGGCACTCCTCGAAGGGCACATACTCCACCTCCAGGCGTTGCAGCTTGGCGGGCACCTCCCCGCCCAGCGACAGGGTGCCCCAGCCAGTGAGCAGGAGCCGATCGCCTGGCATCAGCGGCTCGTGGCTCAGCTCCACAGGCTGCGTGGCATTGTCGAAGACAATCGATTCATTCAGATGCAGCAGCGCAATGTCGTTGCGATACTTGCGTGGCTCGTAGTCGCAGTGCTCGAGGATTCTGTCCACATAGTAGTACCGGGACACGTTCTTCTTCAGGTCCTGGGTGCCTGCGAGCACTCGGTAGGCTTCGGGCGTTTTGCCATGGATGCAGTGTGCCGCAGTCAAGATCCAACGTTCCTCAATGATGGCGCCGCCACACGAGTGCTGCCCGCTCGTCGCGCCCTGGAGTGAGATTTGATATGGTGCCATGCCCTCAGGCGCATCCTCGCCGCCCACAATGCGCTCCCTGGTGAACTGAGGCGGATAGAGCAACTGCTCCTCCAACCGCACACCAGCTACGAGTAAATTCACTAAGAGCAGCGGCAAAAGCATTGCAAATGGTGTGTGGCATGCAACAGGTTGTCGCTTTTATGGCTTCTTCAAGTTCAGCTTTGGCATGCACGTCACGTAAGCCCTAGATTTCCCAGAGGGGAACGCATTAAGCAGCTCTGTGCTGATAAGCCAACAACTGCTCACGCTGCGAGCACGAGGCCGAATAGAGTCAGCTCTGCTTTGATTGCCGCCACTCGAAGGGATTTCCTATAATCTAGAGATAGTAATTTAAAGAGTGTCAACCTTGGTGCTTGGGTTGCTATTTTGAGTCAGTTGACATATAGAATAGCTGAAGGTTTCATGTGTCATTGTCATGTAGATTTTATAAGTACTCCAAGTGTATTTTAAATGTGAAAAGGAAGATGCTATAACCACATAAGTTTGCTCATATAAGTTCATTTGGGGACCTTTATCATAAGGACGCTATAAGCAGAGTCACTATAACCAGATTGTACTGTAGCTGTTTCTTGAAGTAGTATTAGTAGGTATTAGTGTAGTATATGTTTTATGAAGATCTTCATAGCTTTTCTTAGCTACAAAATACTTATGTTGTTTAGAATTTACAGAAATTCTCTAACTAAAGTTTCTTTGAACTTTGACCGTAATCAATAATTAGTTGACAGCGAAAAATGATTAATTTTAATGTGCAGGAAAATACCATGAAAGCGCTGGTATAATCTCTTAAGTCGGGTCTCTTGAAACTTGTTGATCAGCATTATCATCAAGGAAGCTTATTTAGTCGGGTCTGTTTTCCAGCTCTCGATTTTTAATGCGTAGCTCGATGATATCAATTGTTGTCGATAAGGTTCCTTTCTGATAGTTTCGTCAAGTACAAGCGGCTCATGGTAGATCCCTTCAAATCGATTTCACAAAATGCACTGCTTTTTGTCGTGAGACTTGTCAGTCGAGGAATGCACTTAACCCATAATATTCTGGACTGTCATATTGACTCAACATTTCGACTGATGTACCAATTTCGTCTTGCAGCTAAAAATTTAATTATTTAGATGAATTTCACATGGGAAAGATCTCTTAATTCGAATATCTCTGAATACCTTAATATTACAACAAATATTTACTGGGGACATACCTAACTTCTCTTCAATCTGAGCACAATCAAAATTATTATTAAGTAATAGCAATTACTCTTCAAGAATTGAATTCTAATCAAAGTCTTTTTTTTTGGCACCTCTTGATAAATATATTTTTATTGTTTATTAGAAATTGGATGATAACTACTTAGTAGGCTTATCAGGCAATGATTGCCTAACAGCTGCCGACTTGGCTAAGAATAGACAACGAATTGACTCATTCGACGATCAGCCATGCGCCGCCAATTTCAATTTTATGACTAAGAAATTGGGAATTTCCACAAGCTATTCCTTTTCAACTGTCCCAGCAAACAGGTTCATAAAGTGATAAAGACTAATGGGCATCTTTATAGGTTCATAATTTGTTCATAAATATTTTTATATTGTTGCGATATATGCGTGATAAAATTTACAGTGTTTGGACCTATGGTCTATAGTCTTGTGGTTATATGTGTAGGTATATACATCTTTGTTCGGTTTGGCTGCTATTCGCCTGTTGGCTTTGTTCGACATGCTTCTGACGTCTTCGCCTACTCCTTCTAATGGGATTTGCCCAGCTCAGTCATTGACTTCTTAATCCAGTCTAGGTAATAGGCCACCGAGGCGTACACATCCGGGTAGCCCAGAGCACAGGCCTCACCCCAGTTGACCACGCCCACCAGCGTTTGATTCGCATCGACGAGGGGACCACCTGAGTCGCCATGGCAGGATCCTTCGCCCTCCTTGGTGTAGCTGCAGATGTGGCCATCGCCCACCCAGCTGGCATTGCGCACCTGTGTCCTGCACCTGGCGCGCTCCAAATAGGACAGATCGATCTTCTGCAGCTTGGTTACATAACGTCCCCAGGCGCGGGTGCTGCCCCAGCCGCTTAGGGTGACCTTATCGCCCGTCTTCAAGCTCTGCCTGCTGGCCAATTGGATGGGCTGTGTGCGATTGTTGAAGACAATGGGCGTGGCTGTGTGTATAAGGGCGATGTCGTTGTGGTACATTGGCTTGTCGTGGCTGCTGTGCTTCGCGGCCGCATCCACCAGATGCTCAGCGCCGGGCTTTGTATAGTCATTGGTGCCAGTCACGATCTTCAGGTACTGAATGGGCCACTCCAGGCAATGGGCAGCTGTTAGTATCCAATGCTGTCCAATGATGCTGCCACCGCAGACATGCTCGCCGAAGGTACTCATGATGGAGACCTGGTAGGGGGCCCAGCCCTCGGGTGCATCGGTGCCACCCACAATGCGCGTCTCGGGTCGCACCACGTCCAGATCCAGCTGACGGCTCAGCTTGCGGGCCAACCTCACGTGGCGTGCGAATCCACACTGGGCAAAGATCAGCAATGCGCTGACCAAGATGAGGAACTTCATTTTCAAACTGTGTTTGGCTTTGCGTTACGCGACTTTCAATTTCGAATTGTGAAGATTCAGCTGTCTGGATTTCCTTTTATAGTCGGCTACCTGTTGCCCTTATCGGCGGGCAGCTTTCTTTGAATTCGCGAATCGTTCTGATAAGAGACTCAGCCGCGATTCCTAGTAAGTTCCGTAAGTGACATTACCATAGCCAACATGCTGATAAGCGTGAAATTTGAAATTCTCGCTAGGCGGAAAAGTACCTCCAATCAGTCGGTTGACTGACAGCGAATCGACAACAAATTACTCATACGCCGCGTTAGCGAACTTTGATCGACAGCCAATCGCTGTCGCGCACACGTCTAGCGCGTCATCGATAGACGCCACCTCCGGAACTCTCCATTTCACAGTAGACAATAAAAATCAATAATAATATGTATTTAGTCTTAAATATTCCTAAATCACTGCCCACTCGAATGCAAAGCAATCGGGCGAAAGCTGATACACTACTCCAAAAGATTGGAGTACACCTTATATTGGTTTTCTAGTGCTACCCTATATATCGATATCTATTTATATATTCCCTATATATCTAAAAATCCTTCCCTTCTTAAATAACACTCCTTCATTGCCATAAAAAAAAAATATGAAATTCGCAGAATATACATATTCTGCCAATTTTGATCGATAAATAAATAACATTTCTCATGGAAAAAAAAAAATATTTTTTAATGTTTAATGGACTTTGTCAGGAAATATCATAGTATAAGACTATATTTAATGATTCTTTTAAAAGAATACCCCGTCTTCAATATAAATGTCAAAACGATAACTTACTGTGGAATCCGGTTATAACGACTCCGCTAATAGCATCCATATCTCTATATAAAGTTACTGTCATAGCAGACGAAAAATATGTTATATAATAAATTTTTTAAATATATTCCACTCTAACTCTCTTAAAGTTGAATTTGAAGCCAAGCAAAATTTTTCTCACAGTGTAGAAGAGATAAAAACAAAAAAACAATTTTCAAACATTTCTTTCTTTGATTGTATTGATTCTATTGTAACGAACCAAAGTGTTAGTGTGTGCATGGTTCCAATGATTACAGCGATACCATCATCCA